CTTCCTTCCTTCCTTCCTTCCTTCCTTCCTTCCTTCCTTCCTCCTTCTTTCTGCTTCTTTAAAGATTTTGATTAAAGATTTTGGGTGTGGCTGTGATTTGAGGACTTCCTTCCCTCCCTCCCTCCCTCCCTCTCCCCCTCCTCCTCCCCCTCTTCTTCACCTTCTCCTTCTTCCTCCTCCTCCTCCCCCTCCTCCTCCTCCCTTTCTCCTTTCTCCTTTTTTCTTTCCTGATGGTGATGAAGACGAAGGTTAAACATTCTGGGTGTGGCTGTAATTTGAAGAGTTCTGTTTTCCTTTTTTTTTTTTTTGCTCCTAATTAAATGCAGGATGGATGATGCAAAATAAGTGGAAGCGCATTGACTTATTTCCGGCATGTTGTTTTAACCACAGAATGGACCTGTTCTGAGAAAGCCACTCCCACCCGGTGCCTCTTTCTGATGTACAGCATATTCTGCCATTACTTATGGAATGAGGGATTTATATCCCATCCACCAACCGCTAACTCAGCTTCTCCACTACTTTCTGCAGGTATTACTACAACAAGCGGATTCTCCACAAGACCAAAGGGAAACGCTTCACCTACAAGTTTAACTTCAGCAAAGTGGTCTTGGTTAATTACCCGCTCCTGGACATGGCTGCCAACTCCCCATTTCTTCTCACTCAGAACCCTTTCAACGGGAGCAACCACGGAGCCGACTGCACCCCATTAACCACTGAGGTATGACCTGCAAGAGAGAGAACAGAGCTAGAACATAAGGGTATGTGCGGAAGACCTTGGGGAGAGGGGGAGGAGATGGGAGAGAGAGAGAGAGAAGAGGCCTAGGGGAGGGGTCTCCAACCTTGGCAACTTTGAAAACTTGTGGGCTTTGTTCAGAGTATTGCAGCATAAATTCGGCACCAGAAAAGTAAACACAGATGGCTGAGGCTTCCTTTAACTTCTTTATAAACGCATGAAGTAAATTTTACAATACCAGTTGTACATTTCTCCAACATGGAGCAAACAGAAGTAGACATGTTACAAGTGCAGAGCAGAACAGAAACTCAACTTCAGGAAACAAGCAAGCAAGTTAGTTTCTCTTTCACTTTAGAGCTGAGCACAGGACAGAGATAAACCACGCCCAAATTCTCTAAGTTTCAGCCCTCTATTTAGCTCTCATTGGCTGACCTTGTTACTAAGGTCAGTTCCAGTTCATGAATATACTCTGACAGACTTCAACTCCCAGAATTCCTCTTCCATGGTTGCAGGAACTGGGCATGGCTAGTCTAGTGAAAAGGCGTACCAGGGGAGACAGGATAACAGTGTACAGATATTTGAGGGACTACCACAGAGACGAAGGGGTCGAACTATTTTCCAAAGCACCTGAAGGCCAGACAAGGAATAATGGATGGAAACGGATCAAGGACAGATTCAACCTGAAAATAATGAGAAATTTTCTGACAGTGAGAACAATCAACCAACGAAATAGAAGTTGCCTTTGGAAGTTGTGGGAGCTTCATCCCTGGAAACTTTCAAGAAGAGACTGGACTGCCATCTGTCAGAAATGGTGTAGGGTCTCCTGCTTGGGTCGGGGGGGTTGGACTAGATGACCTATAAGGTCCCTTCCAACTCTGTTAATCTAATCTAAAGTCTTAAATGGGCAGAGAAAGAGACACAAGAAAGGATTCTCTCTAACTTCTTGGGTTATAAAAGAGACCAGACAGGAGATTGGTCCTATCAGAGTTACACAACCAGATGCGCTAATTCTACTTTATTTTAAGATCACCTTAACGGAATCTAATGACCATGGGATTCAGTGGTGGGATTCAATTTTTTTTACTAGCCATTTTGTGGGTGTGGTTTGGTGGACGTGGTGTGGCTTGGTGGGCATGGCAGGAGAAGGTTACTGCAAAAACCCCTTTCCCTCCCCACCCCACTAACCTGCTTTCCAGCTCTGTTCTCCTGTGCAGGGCAACCAAAGAAGACCCAGCCAATCGGCTGGGACTCAGGAGGCGGAGAATAGATGGGGGCGGGGCCAGTCAGAGGCGGTATTTGCCAATTCTCCGAATTACTCAAAATTTCTGCTACCGGTTCCCGAGAACTGGACACAACCGGCTGAATACCACCTCTGATGGGATTCACTAGACAACTGCCATGATCAGTTTACCGTGGCAAAAAAGCATGGTTAACAACAGGCAGGTGAAGTAGGTGTGCTTGGTGCTAGGAAGGTGAGCAACAGGTGTTCAAGGTTCTCTCACTGTCTCCAACCCTTCCCTCTCTGCTTTGCTGCGATCTCTCGCCTGCTGGATTCGATCTCCCCAGACCTTGCAAAGCCTCTTCTCCAGCCCTCGCTTGGGGGATCCCGCCAGCCGCACCCCACTCTTTGAACGTCAGCCAGAACCAGAGAAACTGAGGCTGGATGCAGCCTTCCCCTTCTTGGGATCAGGTGAGTGTGTGTGTGTGTCTGGGTGGGTTTAGGCTGGGGACCAAGGGGCTAAAGACATTATATAAAAGGCTTTTTCCTTCCTTCCTTCCGTCTCTTACACTCTTTTCCCTCCTTCCTTCTTTCTCTTTTATATTCTTTTCCTTCCTTCATTCCCTCCTTCCTTCCCTTCTTCTGTCTCTTACAGTATTTTCCTTCTTTCCTTC